ATTTATTGTCTTGATTTTCACAATTTTACTTCCTGTTTTGTTGGTTTGTAAAATTTAGCTTTTATCTCTTAAATCTTTAAACAATATTGTTTACCTAAACTTGGCAAAGATTTTTTCATCTTTTGTCTTTTGAAAGCAATAGAGATGGCGTTTGGTTTACAGATTAAAACAATTATGAGTCTGAACACGCCACTGTATAAGACTTTAGTTTTAAAAGACAGAAAAGAAATGTTTAAAAACATTCCTTGTTTTCGTGTTTAAAAAGATAAATATCAAGCAGCATTACATGTATATCTATTGTTACACAACTGCAATTAATCGGCATTTTGCAGTTTGCTCAAATGACAATACTATATATCGCAAGGAAAATATATCTAATGTGGGACTTTTTTTAACTATGACAGTAAATTCCTCCGTTTAGTCATCTTGTATGAAAAAATGTAATAAAAACGACATTCCAAAAACCTTCATCAATTTATGTCTACAGTAAAACAGACTCAGTTATTTAATCCTTCATGAATAAAAAAAACGGCCCTCTATATTGAAAATATTTGAATAATTTGAATTTTTTTTTACAAACAATCGAATATGTAAACGTTCCCAATATTTTACCATTTGCTAAATAACTTCTACAGTTATATCACTGCCTTTCAAAAAAAATAAACACACACTGCAAATGATATCATAAAAATGAATACATAGCACATACTTGTCACTTAAGTTACTAATACATCGAGCACTAATCCTGACGTAAGAAAATAGATACGAGAAATAATTTACTTACAATTGTGTATGTTTTTAGTATAACAAACGTAGGATACTTCATCGTCGCGCACCTGGAAGATGTTCCCAATCGGACCGTTAAATCATTAACTCTAAGATAAAAATCATTGGAATATCATACAAATATGTAGCGCACCAACGATTTTATAAAATAAATACAAATTTATTTTAGTTCGATTGTGTAGGAAGCTATAAGCTTATACACACACTTTCGGAATCCGTTCCTGGAAACCAATCTAGTACTTGAGTAAATGGAAGTGTTTAAAGTTTCTTCTATGCTGGCAAAGGAAACAACGAACTTGCCCCAAACTCCTCACAGCGGTTAACGTCACGCTTTGCTAACTTTAACCACTGCCAACCACTGAAATCATGTGAACGATAATATTGTGTCATGTGACAAAAAACAATGGCGGCGGCCAGTTTCCAGAAACAGCCCAAGGATCACCATAATCCAAAACTGGACAGAATATTATAATATAACATCCCCCTTACCAAGAGATAAAATATGTTCAAAACACTCAATTTGTTTTTTACCTTTTAAACAAGTGTCCCGGAATCAAAATCTGTTTGCGCAATCGTTCAATCAGCCATTGTTTACAATACATATAGTGTCACAATGAAAATATCTTTCGTTATTTTTACAAAATAATTTTTGCAAGTATATTGTTTTACATTCTTGTACATTAATCATAACAATTTAATGAAAGAAAACTAAAATGATATAAAGTATTCTATTTTAAAATTAAAAGTGAAAAATATATATTCGACTCTCTGAAGCCGAATTTACTTTTGGTGGCAGTGGTTACTGTACTGATCAGGGGAAGTAACCGCTGCGGGGAGTTTGGACTTGCCCCTGACGGGGTTTCAACCTATGCGGCTAGTGATCATTAGATTACTAGTCCGACGCATTGTTCACTCGGCCATTGACCAAGGATTGTGTTTTATATATACTTGATATAAATGTAAAAGAAACGTTAAAAGTTTTACTCTCTGGTTTAAGCTTGAAAACGGAATACATATTGTTTCGGAGTTCGAGTGGGAGCATTAAGGGAAAAACATTTTATCCCGTTTTCTGGACTAAACTAGGCAGAATTTTTTTTAATCATATCAAATACTAAGGCCAACCTTAAGTCGACGGGATGTTTACAAAAAGAAACTATCCGATTTGGAGCATTTTGAAGGTGCACGATGACGTAGTATCCTACCATTGATTACCACAGAAATAGTTTTCTTACAAATAAAAATGCAAAAAAAATGTTATTAAAATGTACTTTAATATATTTCATCAATTGAAAGATTAGATTCCACAGCAACATACTTTCCATAGTGTATGTGCGTTTGTATAACAAGCACGTGGGCAAACTGGCACACAATATTAAGCACACATGTATCATAAATCAGTATCTAAAAGTGATACAATATCATTGAAATCATTTGACGTCATATGTTTACAGTTGTAATGAAACAATAAACACCCATATGCCTAAACATGTAATGGTTCAGGTTCATCATTACAGTTATCTGTTACAAACACTTCCAGTTGACGGTTTTGAATAGCTGAAATTTTCCAATTGAAAAAAAGCAAGACGCAGCCACTCAAACAACGAGAGTCGCCCAACGCAATAGAATAGATCTGTTGCGCATGCTCGACTTTACTGAGTCTGCTCATGAACGGTAGTGGCAAATTTAGCTGCCGTTCACGATCCTAGTTATATTCGAATTCAACACTCATATATGTAACAAGTTATGCAGGATTTTGGTAACTTTCAATAAAAGAAACAACCAAAAGGAAACTATGGATTTATCTTTTTTTAACTATCCGGCATGGAAGGATGATCCTCGGCTAAGAAATAGAAAGGAAATACAAGCAACTAGAGTTAAGGGCATGTGGCTACTAAAATATTGTATCTTACGTAGCCCTTTACGTTTTGAATAATGTCACAGTTATTATAAAAAGCGTGTAAGATGTACTGTTTCTGAAAATAGAATAATTTCATTTTACTAAATGCAGTATTCCTATAGAATGATCATTTGACTGTATGGTCATCTGGGCACAGCACTTGTTAATTGCGTTAAACATCATTTGCTAGCATAGGACAATTATTTCCTTCTATTCTTTAGAATGAACCTTTCTCTGTTTCTTAAGGACGTTTTCGGGAATTTCAAAATTAAAGACATAAGGAAAAATTAAAACTGTTCAACAGAATTTCTTTAACATAGCATGTTGTTAGAATAATGGTAATAGACACAAATTTGGGGGTCATTGTTCTCACTTCTGAGTTATTGCATATTTCTGCATGTATTCCAGTAGTAAATAACTTGATTACTATTAATTGCAATTTGCACAATATCGTATGTATATCTTATGTAAACCAGTGTGACATTATCAACAAACATAATAAGTAACTACGGGACCCTACTATTGACAAAGACCCTCGATCGAAATATACTATTCAAAATCATCTGGATTATTTCTTTGAACATAGTTTTAAACAACAGAATAAGCGTGATGTATATATGTAGCTAACTGTCTTTATTTTTAATCAATTGTGAATTTATTTTGTAAATTCACTTTTATTTTCGGACAATATTAATATTGAAATAATTAAACATGAATAACAAAGCAAAAGATTTACAGAATATGTTCTTTGCCGTTGTCTCGTCAAATATGAGGAAGATAAATCGATAAGTAACTTACAAAAACATTTTGTACGGAGATACAATACGATAACATATGTTAAATTTAGCGCCAATTTTATTATGATTAAGGTTCCGGTGGATACATTATTTAGACCAAATAAATACTTAAAACACAGATGTGAACGGGGATTATCTTCTTCTCCTTCCTTTTTTCTTCTTTTTCTAATGGAAACGTTCGATGCATATGTTTATGTTTGTTTTTCTTTATTTCATGGCAAAATATTATAAGGAAATATCACGCATCTCACTTGTTTGAATGCCTATTTCGGCCCTAGCACTTTAACGTTTAGTTTCTCCTTTCATTAATTATAGTGGTAAACTATCATAAAGAGTATCACGGCTATTGTTAACTTCTTTTCTCGTTTAGGGTACACTCATTCTTTTACTTTGGGACCATAGCCGCTTTTCATGGAATGACACTGACGTGTCACATTACACCAACGTGTCATTTTGAAGGTTCCATGATAACCGCCGTATGAATGAATCTGCGGACGTTTCTAAATTCAAAATAACAATGATTAAATGTTGAACTCAGTTTAAGTCAGTGCTAGGTAACTTGCACTTTCAATTGGCTTAATCAAACGGAGCTGCAACATTTTCAATTCAGTCGTTTTTTTTGGCGTTTTTAGAGATTCTTTTTCTCTATGTTGTTACACTATTTATAAGTATTATTCAGAATCAGTTGTTAATGTTTTATACATCTTTAATACATATTCGTGGGAATTGTACGTTGTATATGAGATTGATGCTTTTCTCGTTGAAAGAAGATTATTGTATCTTCTAAAATAAAATTAATATTACATTTACATATTTTATTATTTATGGGAAAAGCAGCAACTTAAATCAGTATTATATACCTACCTGTGGTATGTGTTCTTTGATGTATGTCACATGTTTACATTGTAATAGAAACGTTGATCTTCAGCAAAACAATTAAAAAAGATCGGAATAAAAAAAGATCGGAATAAAACGTATTTTAAAATATGCAAAATGAAATGAACGACACAATGAGCCACCAAAAGTACTTATAATAACGACAATATAAATTGTCGTCACGCGTCTACAAATATTGAATTATTTCTTCAATATGTTTACTAAACTTTGTTTTAGTATGTTCTTATAACGAATTGAAACATTATGTGTTATCATTTTAAAGACACAGTAAGCCTCTATCTCTAACTCGATGCAAAACAGTAAACAAAAAGTATTAATAATAACAGAAATATATCTTACAGTAAAAGAAACATAGGGATCAACATTAAATGAATGCATCAATATAAGGACTATATCTGTTCCTCAACTCGGGCAAGGAATTGTTTTGCAATCGAGTTTAAATGAATATTGTAAATAACAGACACTGAAAACATTGTTATGTCTTATTCGAAAACGTTGTCAGCATTTATAAATAAACTGCATAAACTTCCTAAATCATGTTTCATATGTGTTTGTTGAAATGTTGTTTGTTTATGCAATCATTGCCACGTAGCCTACCCAATTTAACTTGTTTTTCTTTAAATCGGATATGTTAATAAATTTCCTTGTTACTCCTATATATTTCATCTTAAAACCTTTAAGTTACTGAATGTATCACCAGTCTTTGTTACTCCAGTAGGTAGTAGACAGGTGAAACAAAATTGACAGTAGGACAGAGTACTGCACGTTCAAGTCGTTAAGGTAAGATCCGTTTATTAACTATTTAGTTTTCATATAGTTAATAATTAAAAACTGACTAAAAAGTATTAAAAGCAATTTAAATTTAAATGACTAGAACAAATTTGAATAAACATGTTGTAAATATAGTTTGATGTTACAAAGGCCTTTGTATTGAAATTCATAGTGTATGAATTAAACTTGAGGATCGGTTTTTAAAGATTGTACAGGGACGAGTTCAAAGGGTAACGTCCGGAGAGCTTTAGATAAGCAATTGCTGGTATTTAATCAAAACTGAAAAACTCATCCATTTAAATATGATGAATTTTAATATTGCATGTGATCAGTACTTCTTACGAAAATTATAACGAAAATAAGTTTTATGCTGGATATTACGTTTGTCTTTCAGGAAAACTGACACCCCATTTCATATCTAAAGAAAGCATTTCGATAAAGATAATGAATGTCCCGATCGTGTATACGTTTCTGTTTGCAATACTTGCATTACGCGTATCGAGTTTAGAAAAATCAGCAAACAACAATATAAGTGGACAGACCCTGTATAACGTTGGCAAAAATTACAACATGACATTGCTAAGCATTTTTGGTAAGGCTATGAAGAACATAGAATCTGATGTTCGGGAAGTAGCAGAGGAAATGTGCCGTCAGCATCGTTGTAGTGAATGGTCAAAGTGGTCTGACTGTGATGCCAGCGCAGATACACAAAAACTTGTCGGTGTTCAAACAAGATCAAGGACATGCGGGGAAAACACTACCATGTGCGAGCGATATGGAATATCTAGAAGAGTTTTGGATTATAAGGTCTGTGAAAATGGATTTAGATGTCCTAAGGAATATATGTTCACAACAAATGGCTTTTGCTTAAAATACTACACAAGTCCGAAATCCTGGGATAACGCTGAAGCTGTTTGTCGATCTGATGGTGGTCATCTGGTGCATGTTGATTCAGAATTGAAAGCCAAGGACATAAACGAAACCTTTCTTGCACTTCCGCCAAGTATCAGTTGGTTGTGGATAGATGGTCGACGATCGGTTCAAGCAGGACCTTGGTCGTATGGGTACAAAGTAACACATCCAAATTTCACTTATTGGGGTGACAATGATCCTGATAATGGAGCAACTGAACTCTGTATGCTCTACCATAAAAGTGAAAAAACAAAATTTCTTTGGCGTTGGTTTGACTATCATTGTCATAACACATTTAACTTCATCTGCCAAATTCTTGCAGAGTAATCGTTTAATATTTGAATTCATATCCGGTTTTAGGAATTCTGCTGTATTCTTTTCTGTTTTTTTTTTATATTATAGGAAATGTTCTGTCTGTCTGTCTGTCTGTCTGTCCGTCCGTCCGTCCGTTCGTACGTCTGTCAGTCCGTCCGTTAGCGATTTGTTTTCCGGAGCATAACTTAAGTTCCATTTGACCCACAATGTTCAAACTTCCTAAGATGATTGTCCATCTTGGGTAGAATACCCCTATTGACTTTAGGCTCACAAAGTCAAGGTTATATTGATTCTGGGGTCATAAGGTCAAGGTCAAGGTCACTATTACCTTAATACTGATAACAGTTTCCGGAGCATAACTTAAGTTCCATTTGACCCACAATGTTCAAACTTCATAGGATGATTGTCCATCTTGGATAGAAGACCCCTATTGACTTTAGGGTCACAAGGTCAAGGTCACTTTTACCTTAATACTGAAAACAGTTTTTTCTGGAGCATAACTTAAGTTCTATTGGGCACACAATATTCAAACTTCAAAGGATTATTGTCCATGTTGGGTAAAAGACCCCTATTGATTTTGGGGTAAAAATGTCTAGGTCACTCTTACCTTAAAACTGAAAACAGTTTCCGGAGCATAACTTAAGTTCATATTTGACCCACAATGTTCAATCTTCATAGGATGATTGTGCATATTAGGTAGAAGACCCCTATTGATTTTGGAGTCACCAGGTCAAAGGTCAAAGTCAATATTACTTAAAAATTGAAAAAAAAATCCAGAGCATAAATAAAGTTCCGTTTGGCCCACAATATTCAAATTTCATAGGATGATTGTCCAAATTAGGTAGAATACCCCTATTGATTTTGGGGTCACAAGATCAATGGTTAGGTCACCTTTATTAACTTAGGTATTAATCAACCTACAGCTGTAAAATTTTATAAGATTAACAGCTAATTCCCATGTCTTATAAATGCTTCATCCTTAAAAAAAGTACTTTCGGGTATATAATGCTCCGCCTAGCTGTGCTCTTGTTTTGTTTCACATATTCTCAAAATCAATCTTTTCGGAATCATTCTAGACATAACTTAGTATTTTTGAACAATGACAAATTGTTTTACAGCACCTTTGAACATTATTGATGAAGACGTTTAAGTTGACTTTAGTGACGACGGCGTTCAAAAAAGCAACATCAGATGGATTAAACAAACATTTTGTTTTTTCTTGACGTATGTTTGAAAAATGAATTTAATTAAGAGGAAGTGCAGTGCACAAAAACAATAACACCATCTTCACTAATTACAAAATTATTTCCCTTTGTTACTTTTTCTTGTCCGGAGCATAACTTAAAAACTACTAGTTGGAATTCAAAACAATTTAATACAATGGTCAAACACAATAAGAGGAAGTGCAGTGCACAAGAACTATAACTCTAGCTAAAGTAGTTTAGAGTAAATGCCCTTTGTTACTTTTCCATTGTGTTTTATCCTGAGCATAACTTAAAAAAAACTCGTTGTAATTCAAAACAAATTCATACAATGGTCAGGCACATTGAGAGGAAGTGCAGTGCACAAGAACCATAACTCCATCTTGACTAATTCCAGAGTTATTTGTTTTTGTTAATTTCCCTTGTCCGGATCATGAAAACTACTTGTTGGAATTTAATGCAACTTCATACAATCGTCAGGCACATTAATAGAAAGTGCAGTGCACAAGAACCATAACACCATTTTGACAAATTACAGAGTTATTGCCCTTTGATACCTGTCATTGTCCGGAGCATAACTTTAAAAGTACTGGTTTGAAATAAAAACAACTTCATACAATGGTCAAGCACAATAAGATGAAGTGTAGTGCACAAGAACCATAACTCTGTCCAGAGTAAATATAGAGGTCATTGCCCTTTGTAACTTTTCCATTGCTTTTTTTCTTGACCAGAGCATAACTTGAAAACTACTAGTTGGAATTAAATACAGTTTCATACAATGGTCCATTTTCTTAAGAGAAAGCGCAGTGCACGCACAGAAACCATAACTCTTTATTGACTTATTTAAGAGTTTTTGCCCTTTGTTACTTTTTATTGTCCAGTGCATAACTTGAAAATTAATGGTTAAGATTATATGACACTTCATACAATGGTCAAGGGCAATGGGATAAAGTGCAGTGCACAAGAACCATAACTCAATTTGGATAAATTACAGTTATTGCTCTTGTTACTTTTTGTCCAGTGCATAACTTGAAAACAACTGGTTGAAATTCAATACAAATTCATACAATGGTCAAGCGCAATAAGAGGAAGTACAGCGTTTACTTATCATAACTCCATCTTCAGTATTTGTAGAGCTATTGCCTTTTGTTCCTTTTCCTCGTCCGGTGGTTTGCTAAAAGACTTATGTTTGGAATTCAATGCAACTTCATACAATGGTCAAGCGCAATGAGAGGAAATAAAGTGCTCAAGAAGCGTAACTCTTTCTGGACTTTTTATTTATTTCTTTGCAAGGTTTTTATTTCCAAAGCAGTCTTGTGTGGGTATTACTCATATTAAGTGATAGTTTTAGTTTAATAATGTCATGACAGTTTCTGTTCCAGTATACTATATATCAATTGTAAATTTATCCTAAGTACAAAATTAAAACGTGTTTTGAGCTGAAGAGTTTCTCTTCCCTTGTAGACAACGGGCATGTTTTATCTTGATCGACTTGTCGCACTTATAGAAGAACAGATGTTTACAAGGTTAGTATATCTGCCTTTCAAATGAAAAACCACTAGCTGTAATATATTTGCCATTTGTTTTGCAGCATGCACTATCCGATTAACGTAAGATTTTGAACTATCTTTTGTCACCATCTGGAGTGGTCCTTACAGTCAACATCGACTGGTCTGCTGTGCTCAATTCTGTTACCATTCATTGTAAATATATTGAAATAATACAATCATATTTTGACAAAACTCTTATATATACATTTATCTCAGTAAGTTAATTTCATGCGGCAAGCGTAAATTTAATGTGAGAGCATGATAAAAGAAAATCTGTGAAACGTATATATTAATATCGACACCTGAAATGTTTTTATGACATACCCCGTAGGGCTTTGTAATACTAATACTAAATATGTATTCCAGTCAAACCATTTCATTCTGCGTATTTCACTGCTTCATTTACAGATAAAGACTTGATTTAAAAGATCAAGAATGGAATTTGCATTACAACGCCTACAGGGAGTCAATGTTCACATATTTAGGGCATTTAAAGAATTGCCAACATAATTTAATGATACAAGGAATTAGCTGAAATACATAAACACAGACGTAGGAAACCGTGCATTTTATGTACATAAGAGGCAAAGAATAAATAACCGTTGTTGCCATATTAAAATCGTATTAAATAAAACGGTCTTATTTTCATACATTCCTTCCTAAGATAATACATTTGGATTTTTCATAATTATACCAACGTCCAAATAGTGATAAATAAAAACAATCTTGCGTTTGAGGGAAAAATCCATTTTGAAATAAATATTGATATTTTTGCGGTAAATTAAATAACAGTAGCGATGAAATATCTTGACCATTTTGTTTCTCGTCCTGTTATTAAATTAAGTAAACATACCTGTACAGACTCTCAACATTTGTAAATCTAGCGTGTACAAGACATCTAGTGTGGCCTGGAATCTTCAGGTATTATAGGTCAATGTTCTTTTGCAGTCCTGTCATTACACGCCAGGTAAGATAGACTTACACTTTTTATGTTGTGTCCTTTAACAGGAATTATTTACGGGCTTTATTTTTGGTATATTGGCAATATTTTCAGTTATTTAATAATTTATTACTTTACAAATTTATTTATTTATTTCACATGTTTCGACCTTGTTTTATTAATTTGTTCCTTTATTAGCTCAATTCACGTTATATTCATATTTTCATAGTTGCGGACTCGGTGGTCGCGGGATAAAAGTCTCCTACTTCAATACACTTGTCCCTACACGCTGTATATTTCAGCGACATTGGAATCGTCCATAAAAAAACTGTCCAGCTAACTTACGGAAAGAATGTGGTTCTACCAGGTGTCTTACATAATACACGATGGGGCACACGAGGTTTTCCTCCATCAGTAAAGCTTAAAAGTTATCATGTGACCTTAACAGTGTCGGTGTGAATTAAATACGACAAAACAAACAAAATTATTAATTTATTTATAGTAACTAATACAAGTTTTCTGCTTATTAGTAAATTTTGTCTTGATTACATGTATTTATTTTACTAAAGACTTCCTATTAAATCAAATAGCCGCGCAATTATCAGCATGCAGTGAACAAAACTCTTCCTGTTTATCACATGGTGCATCATACTAATAATAGTTTGTTTTTTCGTGTGACAGTGTTCCGTCTAAATCAAACCGTACATTACTCAAAAAGATGCACTTAGAATTGATGTATATTTCCTAAGTTATAGTCCGCATTCTAAATTACAGATTGTAAATAAAGATATAAGTTGGGAAACAAAGAAATGATCGATATCTTGAAACTATTCTGACGGACATGGTGCAAACGCTTAAAGTTGTGGGTGAAGTCGAATGTATAATGCATTGTGCTGGGTACGTTACTAAGCAAAGCGGCGACTGTGTCTAAGGCTGTCTAACTTTGTCGTATCAATGTTAGATAAAGGTTTATTTCTCCTTGTGATAGCTGAACATGTGTTTGCATAATGGTTGAACAAATTGTTGATTTCCTAAATCGAATCTCAAAACAATAAGATGATTGCTATGTTTTGGTTGGTGTGTTTTTCTTGTGTTTTTTTGTTGTTTTTTTTAATTTTATTTATTGGCTGCATTTTCATAGAGAGGTTTATGTATGTAATGCCGGCATGTAGTCTTGACTTTGTTATGAAAATTAAAAAAAGACGAAAATTAGATTTTAAAAATGTGACTAGGAAGATGTAAATTATCTGCGGTAATTTATGAAAATGTAAACACACTCGGTAACGAATAATCACCGGTAGCTTTATTACCATATTAATAGATGCCGGAAATAGGTCAACACTATTTAAAGGGCAATAAATATCTTGCAGGATATTGTGGGTCTGGCCAAGATTTTTTTTCTATGTTTAGAGCTGCTTATTCACTAGTTCTCTAATTGGAGACCTGTATTAACAATTAGCAGCTGTGCAAAAGATTAAAATATCAGCAGTTGCATCATTTGTATCAATGGTGCAACAATAAAATGCAATATTAGACAAATTAGAGCAAGTATACAGAAAAACAATAATATGATGAAAACAAGTCAACAGCAATAGTACAGACTAGAATATTCAGACTAAAAGCATTTTCTGAAGGTAAAATATAAACAATGAAGCAAATACAAACTTTGGACATTTTTTTTAAATGTCCGCATTCAGAAGAACGTTGACAAGTCACGGGAGAATGATGTTGAAGACATTTTTCAATAAATATGTTGATATTCATTTCATTTTCTTAAAAACAGCGTTTAACTGCATGATAAGATAAGCAATGCGTACACTTTTGTTTGCTTACATAAGATATTTTTTTGGTAATATCTGGTACTTTTGTTAATAATAAACTGTTGCTTATGCAAATGTTTGGATGCATCGTCACCTGTTATTGATTCTGATGTAATCTTACTTACTGACAAATCCAACCTGTGTGTTGAAGGGAGTATTTATTCTTGTTGTTCTCCTATTGTTTGAGTTACAATCTAAATCTATCAGACGGACTATAGTCAATATTTCTTTACTATTTATAAATATTATTCCAAATCAGATGTCATGGTGTTTTAATACATTTCAATACCTAGTAATACAGTATCAAACATTTATCATCTGTTTTTGTTTACATCTAAAACAACATGATAGAACTACTTTCAATTCGTATCAAGTCCGATGATATTATTGACAATAGCTGAGCTGTCCCATGTGTATATGTCTGTGAATAATTGTGGTACATGTATATGAAACAAACTGATCTGTTGCAAACTGTCAGAACTAAAACGTCAAATTACACGCATAATCAATAAAAGGGCACGTTGAGTCATTATAAGGGCTAACGATAACGGCATGATTATGATGACATGCCTTATAAACAATTATGAAATGGTATGTCATGTATGTCTTGACTCTATTCTAGCATTAAAAAAGAATATTGTTTAGGTATATGTCGGTCAACTCGGACAAGAACTTGTTTTGCAATCGAAATATGTATTGTAAACTCTATAAATGTAAACATAAATATTATGTTATATTCGAAAACGTTGTCAACATGTATAAGCAAATTGTATAAACTTCCTAAATTATGTTTCATAATGATGTGTTCGTTTAAATATTGTTTGTTTTTTGCAATCATATTCACGTAGCCCACCCTATTTTTCTCTTCTATGTTTTAATCAGATATGTGAAAAAATTTCCTTCTTATTCCTATTTGTTTATCTTAAAACTTACTGAATGTATCACCAATCTTTGTTACCCCAGTAGGCAGTAGTCAGATGACAACGACTTTGACAGTAGCAAAAACAAAATACTGAACGTTCAAATCATAAAGGTAAGGACAGTTTAAGTACTATTATGTTTGCGTATGGATGAATACATTAAAAACAAACATGACTTAATGTTTTTTATCAGGAACGTTTTATTGAAATATAAGTTTGAATGAAATGTAAGTTTGAATGAAATGTACATTTAAACATATATCAAAGTTATATTGCATTTTATTGAAATTCGTGGTGTTTGCGTCAAATTATAGAATACTACGCAACGCCGTAAATGAATGTGTTTCAGGATCGCTTTGATTGATTCTTTGACGCATTCCAAAGGGTTTCGAATAAGCAATGTATGTGTATAACATAAGAACAACATATTTTAAGGTCTATTACGTTTATCTTTCAGAAGAAAAGGGAGACCCCATTTACCAACGGAGAGATAGTACTGGGAACAAAAAAATGAATGTCCCTATCGTATATACGTTTTTGTTTGCAATGCTGTCATTACGCGTTTCGAGTGTTGAAAATTCAGCAAACGACAAAATAAGTGGACAGACCTTATATAACGTTGGCAAAACTTACAACATATCATTGCTAAGCATTATTGGTAAAGCTATAAAGAACATAGAATCTGATGTTCGGGAAGTAGCAGAGGAAATGTGCCGTCAGCATCGTTGTAGTGAATGGACAAAGTGGTCTGATTGTGATGTCAGCTCAGATAAACAAAGACTTGTCGGTGTTCAAACCAGATCACGGACATGCGGAGAAAACAATACCATGTGCGAGCGATATGGATTATCTAGCACAGTTCTGGATTATAAGGTATGTGAAAGTGGATTAAGATGTCCTGAGGAATATAAGTTCACAACGAATGGCTTTTGCTTAAAATACTACACAAGTCCAAAGTCCTGGAATAACGCTGAAGCCGTTTGTCGATCTGATGGTGGTCATCTGGTGCATGTTGATTCAGAATGGAAAGCCAAGGACATAAACGTAACCTTTGTTGCACTGTTGTCAAGTACCAGTTCGGTATGGATAGATGGTCGACGATCTGTTCAAGCAGGACCATGGTCGTATGGATACAAAGCATCAGATCCAAAGTTTACTTACTGGGGTGACAATGATCCTGATAATGGAGCAACTGATCTCTGTATGCTGTACCACAAAACTGAAAAAACAAAATTTCTTTGGCGTTGGTTTGACTATCCATGCAATAAACAATTTCATTTTATCTGCCAGATTCTTGCATAATTATCGTTACATATTTGTTTGAATTTATATGCGGCTAGTGACTAAATTAAACACAAATAATATAGAAATAATTGATTTAACGAATTCTGCAATCAGAATCTAATGGTTGAAACAAACATTAAATCTTTACAAAAAGGATGAAGGAACAAATATAACAATAACAAAACAAGCTAAGTGTATATATTTTTTTACATTTTGTTGTAATTCAAGATGAATCTGAAACATCCTTATAAGCAAACGTTGTCGTTTCATTAAAGCTTTTTAAACACCATCGTTTATATAACCTCTATAAAGATCTTATCATCAATTTAAAAAAATATGTCTTTAAAATTAATATTATCCGCCGTATTAGCCGTGTTTATCACAAAACAATATCATGATATTTATTTTTCAGGGACAGGAAAAAACTATATAAGACAATTATATAAATATATGAATATAGATATAGTTATTATAATATACAATTCTGCAATAAATCACCATATATTTTCCGTTTGCATTTACTACATGTTTATTTTAACAAATTAAATGAAACAAAAAATAAAGTTTCCTTTTTAAAAGGAAAGGCTTGCACAGTTGTGCCTTCATCCCAACCTTTTAAAATTGTTGTTTTTTTTTTGGGGGGGGGTCAATTTATTATCAAAAAGGGTTTATTTAGTTTTTTTGGTTTTTTTTGGAAAACCGAATATTTTTTTGTCAAAACGATTTAGATCTATTCTCTATTGTATAAAACTAATAAAGAAAATGATCAATCGTAAAAATATTAACGTGATACTGAAGGAAAACAAGTGTGCACATCTCATTTCCCCATTTTCGCAGCGAAATCATTCCTTTGCTTTATAGACAAGTAAATGCACTAAAATACTTCGTTACGTGGTACCGTGGTACCAATATATTAATAAGCATGTATCAACTATGATCGTGGCAAGGTTAATGATATGCATGGGCTATTTTTAGATTACCTCACCAAGAAGTTGAATTGCGTTCAGTAGATCTAAATATAACTCGATCATGCGTGATAACCCTTTGAAGACGGAATAATACTACAGTCACCATTCTCTATTGTAAAAAACTAATACAGACAAAAAAACAATTATAAAAGAAACTAACTTTTGCGTCTTGAAAAACAAATGAAACGGAACAATTTCGTTTATAATTTATTACGGTTTAAACCGATAAATCAAGTAAAAATAGAAATCCTATTTATATAAACAAACGGGGATTACCGAAGTAACTAAAATAGCTTAGATTTCCGCAGTATGACGGAATCGCCCGAATTGTTACGGTTGCAATCGGAACTACATCGGCTATTATCATTAATCCGAAGACTGACGGAAAAGGCCGAAAAGTTGCGATTGGCACAATTGCATCTGGTTTCCCGTTCAATCATGCACCAACAGATGTAAGCAGGAAACCACCTAACCGGAACAAGTTTTCCATATGAAATGGCTTGCAGCCGTGGCTGCAAGCCAAAAACATATACTCTTACAATATTTTGTCTTGGGTTTTTTCACTGACAAAAGCAAAGAAATTGATTGAACGTTACATATCGAAGTTTACAAATGTGCAAAAGACCTTTCGGCCAGTGTGGAAAAATCAAATAAACAATTGTTTAGGAAAGTGTGTAATAAATGCAAGGGCAAAATAAGTCATATTATGGACAAATCATGAAAGGATGATTATGAAGTCATTCTGCATCTAAATGTATGAAACCATTTGCCAACTATATGCATTAAAATATACTCTTTTTATTTAAATAACAGATTTTTAACAATAGTTAAATTGAAACATCCTGGAAATGAATGAAACTCTCAGGACTTGAACACAAACATTCTACTGTAGAAAGAATGGAAATCTCTTCAAAGTTTCTAAAAAGCAATTGCAGCATTTATATCTATGGTGCAACGCAAAGATTTTTTTTAATGATTATACGAGAAATTGTAGCAATTATAAAGTAGTAGCAATTCTACAGCAAATAAATATTAATATGGTACAATGTATTATGATAACAGCACATCCTTGTTAAATATTTGGACAAGAAGATTTATTGGTTTCTGCTACAGCTCCGTTCTTGGTTATTATTCAAGTTTTCCTTTATACAGAAATATAACGGTCTGCTAACATGCGGTAGAGAATTCTAAAAAAGGTCTTAAGACGTCAAAATGACAAGCCCATCATTTTTTGTTTTTTACATATAATGTAAAAGGTTAGTTTACCTGTTTACAGAAATGTCAAAGGAATGTTTAAGTTTCAATAAGAAAATCTGCTGTCACATATGCATGTAACAGCATGTACATGTTTCAGTTAACAATCCACAATTTTGCAATGTATAATTTACAAATTTAAATCATTTTAGAAAAAGGACATGGAAAAACAACTGCTTTCATTTGAATGCAGCCCTTTCTTGTTAATCTTAGTTGTCATATTTTATTTCAATAATTTAAAGCTTTTAAACAAAGATTCAAATACTTATTACTAACATGTGACTTTCCTACATGAACATTTGACTGAATTGGCTTCTTTATGTATATTCTAAATCTAGATTGGGGCCAAAAAATTCATAAAATCAAGTTTATTGGAAACAACGGTTGCAAATAGAAAATTAAATTAAATTTTGATAAAAAGCGCAAGTTGTACTAGACGCAAGAAATTAATTTTGGAGCACAAGGCCACCACAACATGATTTCAAACGAAACAGATTTTCTGCCAGTCTCTGAAATGTTGATCCTCCCGCTTTCTGTGCCACTTTGAGTAAGATAGGTACCTAATAATTAAATTTGTCATGTATTAGACTATATTTATAGCTGAATTATATAGAATACTAAAATGCTGCGCATATGTTATATCTTAATAACCAAACATTTTTTAGTTTTATGCAACGTCAATCCCAAGAAGTATATTTATACACAGCTGTATTGGTCATAGTCGTTTGAAAAAAAACATGTAATGCACGGATAGTTTAAAAATAAGTGATACATCTGGTCATATGTTTAATTGATTTTTCGTAATGCCTAAATATAAATGTTTTGCATGATTTGCCCATGCACCGTCTTAGTAAATGTTTTATCTGTAATTTAATAGTCTAAATCAAATAGTCTATACATATTCAAAGTGATAAGAGATGGACGCATAAATGTTCAATACAGCCACATTTTGAACGTGCCAGGGTTATCGCAGAAGTAAAAAAACTTTTATTTTACCTACTTTATTTACAGTCACTCGGGTCAGTTGCTTTGCTTGAATATAGTTTAATATGAATACCATCTTTCAAAACCCTCTGCATCAAAATTCCTTTTCCTACTTAAAAAGTGAAGCGTTTCCAAAATATCATGTCTGACGGGCGGCGCTTGCAATATTATATGACGTTACAAAGACGTAATAACGGCACGTTTTTGCGCGCAAAAAAATAGTCGGCATAAAACGTGACGTTACAATCTCACTTCCTGTTTGTAAAGACTCCATAGCATTATCAGTAGCTGAGAAACAGCGCTATTTATCAAGTCAAGCTACGGGCGGTAAATCAGTTCTGCCATGCGCTCGGGAAAACATCAACATATATCTATAAATTGGTTCAGGAGGCAGGCAATATAAATGATGCCTTCAATTAGTGTTTAGATGGCATAAATAGTTTTGGGAAGGTCGAAATTCTATAGAAGACAAATAGAGAGACGGTCGCCCTTCCTGTCTGCGATTGTCACTCGTAAAGCAGATGAGAAAACAGAAGGCCATAGAACATAGGTTTACAGTTGGAAGATTAGCCATTAAACTCTTTCATGTCTTTAAGGATACGTCTAAGGATACAGTTTATCGAACATGATCTGAACATAGGCAAGGTGAGCACTAGATGGGTTGGTTCTCCGATTTCTAACTGACGACCAAAAGATGCAGCGCGTGACGTTATTGTCGGAATGTCTAGACCTTCACGAGGACAGGATAGTCACCCATCTGACATTATGACCCAGAAACAAAGGCCAACTCGTCTTTTTGGTAAACACCAGGTGCACTAGCGCCAAAGAAGGTTAGGGTGTCACAATCCGGTGGTATGCACTTATGTGTCTTCTTTCAGGACGGACAGGGGATGATACTGATCGACCGGTTGCCCGAGGGCGTACCTTAAAGCTGATTACTATTTCAAAGTAATTACTTTATATTGATTAACGTTTTAACTTACATTTAGAGTTTAATTAAATAGTTATACTACGACATGGTATCAATAATTAAAAACGACCTGCAAACGTGTTGCAATTCGCTAAAATGTGGTTATTTTATCTAAGCTGGTGCGTCGTGATCTTGTTCATGCGCTGAGTAAAAGTGTGATGACCAAGACAACGCCATTCCTCATATGACGAATTCCTCTCAGTTAAAGATTGATGGCATGCGGTTTTAAAGAATCAGCCATCTGCCCTACAGTCCCGACCTCGTCCCAATGGATTTTAGTGTGTTCCCAGTAGTGAAGTCCCGTATGCATAGCTTTCATTTCAGCAGTGGGGAGGAGTTGAAACAGAAACATTTGTTAAAGACTTTTATAAGGACACATTTAACAATGTGTCGCACTTTACATGGCGTGTGTTCGCACTGGCTGAAACTACGTAGAGCAGGTGCTGTAGGCGACGTCATTTATCACATTTTGTACGCCGGGCTTCAGTCAGTGATGTGTATATTGAGTATGAAGATCTACTAATATTCCATGTATTTCTACGAACATTTTGAAATAATATAAAATATGTTACTTAAGCAATGTGTTTTTATTTTTATTTTTATTTTCAACGGTTGTCTCTTTTATCTGCGACAACCCTCGGATGTGATTAAAAATTTGATGGTATCATAAATCTGTTGTGCCGCATTGGCAATATATTGATATATAAAAATGTAATTAATCGTCATTCAAAGATTAAGCAAAGTGAGATTACTTCTGGTCGTGATTTTCTGACAGTCCTTTTCCAGATTAGTTGCCTGTTTACATTAAATCTAGTCTTTTTGTGTATGATCAAAGGTGTTAGATTTATACTTGAAAACATAATTACAACGGGTAAAGGTCAATTGACAGTCCGAGTTATAATACCGAGTCATCAATCGAAAATCGAACTAAAGTCATCTTAAATTTGTAATTATTTCTCAACTGTGCAATATTACAATGTCAACAATTATAGAGCTTGGCATAAGTTACTTATCTTACATGGCATTGGGACATTGCAAAAATGAGTTGGCCCCGGTGAACGTATTGGACACACTATATTTGTACTCATCAAATTCTGAACCACACTATTGTTAGTACAGATAATAACACATCTTTCCATGGCATTCATTTTGTACTTACTGGACAGCTAAATAATTTAAACACATTTTACACTGTGCCTTACATGAATGTTTTTGGTGTTTTTTTATAGTAATATTTCAATGTTTTAAATTGGTTTGTTCTCTTGTAATTCCCAGAAAGTAGCTCGATATGAAAAGGTATGAATATACTTCATGTAGCAGT